GGCAGTGGAGCATAGTAAGGAGATGCAGTCCCATGGAAGCCAGTGACCAACAATTGGTTCATACGCCATTTGTTCTCGCAGGATACTGGAGCCCATGTGCACCATTGATTTGTAATCCGGTTAAAGCGCCGGACATTCGATTTTCGTCCTCTCGATTTCGTAAACAACACCCCCTCCAAGATAAGGCAGTGAGTGGGACTTCCCTGGCAGAGGTTATATACACGTGGCCATGTGAGAGCATTTCAAGAGGGTGAGCGAACTCTTCCCACTCTCGGCCGTACCACGGCATTTGGGGGCGAAGGGAAACCAGCAGCGGAATCCAGGACGCGCATTTCGTCCTATATGGGACTCGTCAGCTGGATGTGCCTGCATCGGAGTTGATGTCCACTCTGGGACTCGAACCCAGTACTATTCGTTTCAAACGCCATCGCGTTATCCAATTAGCTAATGAGTCCTGTGTATAGTAACAAATTAGCATGTATATTTTATTTGCCTTGTTATTTTGAATGATGTTCTATTGAAATTCCCCTTTTCTAATAATCAGTCCAAAGAATTTCGAATAGAGTTCACTATTAGTATTTCTAACATAAAATTGAGTAGTTGAATGTTCTGAATTATATAAATCTTCCCATCAAAATTCAAATCAGGAGATTACATGAATGTAATTGGTCCAGTACGATTGAGCGATGATATCAATTGTATACACAAGATTCTTGGATCTAGTGTACTGTTTGTTTCTGTATTAAGTGATATATATCACATAAATTTAACGAAGATGTCTACGGATGCCTTCTTAAATTGACGAATAATAAACTGATGAATATCAATCATACATCACTGACTAATTCTAATTAAACAACTACCAGAGATAAAAATCCACAGAACAGCTATTTCGTTCTTGTATAAAACTCTCAGTAGTCTACTAAAATCACCCTTTTAAATATCAAGACAAGGAGTGTATCCACTTTGCTCAAGAGTATCATACTGATTACTTTCTAGTATAGAATGATTATCTGAATGAGATCAGTTCATGATGTAAACAATAAACTGTACAAACTTACAAACCTACTCTAATAATTATTTGGCTAAAACATTTTTTAAGAATAAAACTGAATACATTTTTTTCGTATTAATGTATATCTGTTTGTTTCAGAGAACCTTAGGGAGAATCTAGTGGAAAAACGCGAAACAATTGAACAATGTACGTGTATAATAAAACATAACTGTCCACACACATATCACATGATTGATTTTAGATGTGAGCTGTAAAACTAAACATCAAGAAGCAGAATCTTTTCATGGATTTCTTAAAGGTTTCTACAGATATTATAAAATAAACTTTGTTTCTATGCAAATCTCATTACATACACAGATCATTACATTGATTGATTTCAGTCATTTTCTATTTTAATCCAATTGAATTAGATTATAAGTTATTCCGCATGTTCATTACAGTAACTTCTGAAAGTTGCATAAAATTGTAAAATTATAGTTGCCCTCATAACATTCCTGAATATTTCAGATTATTTCGGCGAACAGTATTCAATTGAAAACATGTATACACCATGTTTCATACTGTAGTGAACAGAACACGGGTGGAGACAATCGAATGCATTTAACACAAACTTACAGGACTTGTTAATAAAATCTAACAATCATAATGCAAATGCTTAATTTGCAAAATGTCCACCAGTTGTCTCATAGTGACTCAGACTTCATTGTTCTTGCATTTTCATACAAATTGCATCTTGTTTCCATTTTTTTACTGTTCGATCGTCTTATCTCTTTCCTGCCAGACCTTCTGTTCACAACTAACATCATATACTACTTATATTAATATCAGTAGCACACACCACAATATCATCCAGATTCAACAATTAATCTCTTGTATATTATCACTGCCGAGATGTAACCACATCATTTGAAATGAATGAAATAGTAGGCTTAAATAACATGACAGTTTCATGTTGGCGGTTATTTGTTTGCATATATTCATCTCACTATTCAGGATTATTTTAACTGAAGAGAGAGTCACTTACTTGTTATAGAGTTGATTCCTACTCATTTGTAATTGGTCAGATATTCAATTGTCTACTTATTAGAATGTTTACGCATGTTATTGACAAGTATCTTGCTAACATAAAACGACAGTGAAGTTTAACTGCTCATACAAGAACTCCATCATTGTTGCACACTATATCATAGTTATTGTATCTTCTTATATCTTCGCATTCACTTCCGCAAGTTTGACAGAATGACGCAGAAACTCATCAAGTTCCTTTACTGTCGAAGGGTCCTTGGAGGGTTTTTCCGTTTATATTCTTTTACGATTAATTTAGACTAAAGTTCGATATTGTTTTTGCTAGATGTCATCTTATTTAATTAACATGCCAATGAAATGAATAACTATTTCTTTCCATTTATATCTTTTAGAAATAGAAAAATCATGGGGATTCAGGATACTTATAACGTGTATGATTTCTTATTTTACATGATTATCCATATGATATTATATACAATCTCACTATTGGAAACATTCTATTTACGACATTTATTCTTGTACAATTATCCTATTCATAAAGGTTGTGCAAAACTTTAAAGAGGATAATGAACTTGCTTTTATGACAATGCCTTATTTGAATTGAAGTCAACTTTACAGTTGATTGTCATGATAATATATGTTTCGTATTGTGTTATGAAATTAATTTTGTCTACTTTCTTTGTATTTCATCAAAACAATAGATGGTGATTTTCCAACTCTGCAGAATCACCTTAAAGAACAATTAAAGATATCAGAAAGTCAGTGAAAATATTCATGAATATTTAGCTATCTTAATAAAATATCCGTTATCATTAGGTGTGCCAATTTTCTTTCACTTTACTCAACTATTCTCCATCCAAATGACCAATTGATTAGTGCACTGTATCTTACACTTGTTGGTAGAAAATGCTGACAAAGATATTCGTGGAGAAAATACAGTTGTTCTCGAGTAGAAGCCTGCATTTTGACGAAATCCTCCCATTTTAAAACAACGAGAAATGTGCTACACTCATATGATTTTGAAATAGTGGAGAAGATTTGTAGCTCAGGTGGATGATGTTTGTGATGGAGTTTTGTTCTCTGAGCTGGATGGTTTGGTCGTGGAGCTTTCATCGTTCTTCTGAATGAATAAACAATCCAGATCCGAGAACTAAACTCCATCATAATAAAATATACATTTTTTTTCGATTTAAGCGTGGTCATTACTCATTTGTAAAGTAAAGAAATATAAATAACATCTCACCATAGACAAATTGGTGATGAATAAATTATAGATAAACACTCCAGTGTCCATATCTCAAAGACAAATAGTATTTATTGTTTCCTTGCTCTCTTGTAATCATTCCCTTCAGTTCAAATTCATAGTGAACAGTAATGAAAAATCTCACAGATAATTATGGCGATCACTTATATGAATATTTTATCATGAAAGTGTCTGGATAAATACAAACACAATAAAACAACCGATGTATAGTCGATTGATTACATATGATATTAGGAAGTATGGTTAACTAATCATTGAGATCAAGGTTTGAGATAGCAATAAATGGAATCACCGTTTATACGGGAGCTCCATTGATATAGCGAAACGATCACCACTACGATACTGGCTAAGAACGTTTGAGTTCAATTCATAAAACACAGCACTTATACTGATGTATAATACTTAGTCACATTTGATAGACATTGAAGGACAGATAAATATTGTCGAATAGATAGATAGCTTTAAACAGGATAGAACGAATCAGATCATTAAACAATGCTTCTATGAATCAAAATAGCATAACGAATTCAACGTTTTATTTCAATCAACATTACAAAGTGAAATTATCGATTTAAAACTGTGGTGTGAGTTACTTATATCTACATAAGTAGTATATAACGATGGTCAGATAAAGAATGTATTTCAGTGTAAGGTCGCGAAGAAGAGCAATTAGTATGAAAATGTATGAACAATGAAATCTGAAACGATGGACTGATATTTGCAAAAGAAACAATCAAGTTTAAGACAATTGTTTGATATTTTGCAAATGAAGTATTTACTATTTGGTTGTCAGATTTTAGTGAGATGTTCTGTAATCTTGTGCTCAAATACGTTCGATTGTCCCCACTTATGTTCTTCTTCACTACAAAACCAATGATATAGAAAACACTTAATTGTTACAACAAAATTTTAGAAAATGAACCATTCCTATTTACACAGTCTTCTGTTTACACTTAGTTGTTGGCTGAGACTACTGAAAGATTCAACTTATTTTATTTATTTATTTTAACTCATAGATATTGGTACAAAGAAGCACCAAATACATATGCACCACACAAATCTCATTCGATATGTGTGAGGGCTGTGATACTGCCCGGGTGCCCAAACCGAAGCAGGTGGTTTTCTTAGGGGGCCACTCCCCGAGCCTTCGACCTGAAGGTCTGATCCACAAGGCAGTGGAGCATAGTAAGGAGATGCAGTCCCATGGAAGCCAGTGACCAACAATTGGTTCATACGCCATTTGTTCTCGCAGGATACTGGAGCCCATGTGCACCATTGATTTGTAATCCGGTTAAAGCGCCGGACATTCGATTTTCGTCCTCTCATTTTCGCAAACGACACCCACGCCACGATAAGGCAGTGAGTGGGACTTCCCTGGCAGAGGTTATATACACGTGGCCATGTGAGTGCATTTCGAGAGGGAGAGCGGACTCTTCCCACTTTCGGCCGTACCAGGGCACCTGAAAACTTTTCTAGTTCAATCATTATTGTAATGTTTTACAAGCAAATTAATATTTTTGATCATTTATGACATCAGGGATGTATATCTAGTCAGACATTTGGTAAACAAGACGAATTTTCACAGTTTCTATCCGCTTTAAATATTGATGTTCACTGGTCTCATAGTTGATCAATTTTAAAAGCGTCGTCAAGTGAAGTAATTTTTTTGTAAAAAAAACAATGCTATTTACAGATATGAAGTCTGATAACAATGAAGAAAAATGCAATCAATTTAAAACATTCCCTGAAGAAGGTAAACAGAAATAAATAATCTTTATTATATATCAGTATGAAAAGTATGAGGTTGTGCAGATGGTTGAATTTCATTGGAATCAAAAAAACTGTTCTAAGTTTGATAACTAACTAAAACCGGCAAGTACTTGACAGATGTTAAGTCATAGTATGGGACTTCACAATAATACTCATGTATGACATCGTAAATGAGAATCAATCACATCTAATGCATTCAGTTTATCAATAGTTGCCTAAATTTGATTGGTTCGCGATCTTAATGAAATGATTATCTGTCTACTACCTTCGTTTATTAATAAATTCTTTGAATGATTCTTGCAACAAAAGGGTAACACTGATAAACTCATCCAATTACTCAGATGAAAACATCACATTTTCCAAAAGTTTAATGCTTTTTGATCGTTTGATCAATTTTAACAAATCAAACAGAACATGATTTACAAAATGAACTGAATTCATACTATTTCAAGAAATGTCTTCCATTACAATTGGCCTAAAGTGACATCTGTAATGTTACTTTATGCAAAGCTTGAAACAATATTGAACTGAACTTCATCAGCTTATGGAAGTCTAGACACGCCATGAATTCACGATATTCTTCTCGGTTGATGAAAATTTTACAAATGTGTTTTGAATGTTCATGATTGGGTTTAAATTATTCTCCATCGTGCTAAAGTCTTAGATGATCTGGCTCTTCTATCGCACACGCAACAAAAAATTCAGAAGAAGCAGGAGCCTCAGCAGCAATAGGTCTCAATATTAACAAAGGGAAAAACAGGGATCTCCGATACAACACAACATGCACCAATCGAATCACACTTGACGGAGAAGATTTGGAAGATGTTAAAACCTTTATATATCTGGGCAGCATCGTTGATGAACACGGTATATCTGATGCAGATGTGAAGGCGTGGATCGGCAAAGCAAGAGAAGCATTTGTAGAATTGAAGAACATCTGGAACTCAAAACAACTGACAATCAACATCAAAGTCACAATTTTCAATAAAAGTGTCAAAACGGTTCTTCTGTATGGGGCAGAAACTTGGAGAACGACGATAACCAGCATTTAGAAGATACGAGTGTTTATTAACAGTTGTCTACGCAAAATACTTCGGATTCGTTGGCCACGCACTATCAGTAACAACCTACTATGGGAGGGAACGAACTAGATTTCAGTGGAGGAAGATGCGCTGGAAATGGATAGGACACACAATGAGGAGATCACCTAACTGCGTCATAAGACAAGCCCTCACATGGAATCTCCAAGGCCAAAGGAGAAGAGGAAGAACAAAGAACACATTACGCTGGGAAAAGGAGACAGACATGAGAAAAATGAATGAAAATTGGATAGAACTGGAAAGGAATACCCAGGACAGAGTGGGTTGGAGAATGCTGGTTGACGGGATAACAGGCGTAAGTAGGTAATGCTAAAGTCGGAGTTTGCACATAGTTTAGTGTATAAACGTATCAATATTACATGGACAACAGAACATCTAAGAAATTAACGACAACACGTTGATAATTCAAAACCCTGTTAACGTAATTCAAAGTCCTTGTACAAACCACACAAATTCATAAACTTTTGATCATGTTCGATATTTAAATGAAAACAGTAAGCTTAAAAATAAAATGATACTTCATCAATTAACCATAATTACGATGGCCTGCTATTTAAAATTTTGTTCGTAATATTGCCACTACTCATATACTAATTCAAACGTAATGATTTCTCTTTTATGAAACATAATTGAAGAACGCACATCATATCTATAAATAGATAGGGAAACAGTAACTCGATACTATCAAATGCGGTGGATAATTATTTTTAAAGTTATTGATTTGAATACTTTATATCCATTGTCAAACTGACAATGGATGATAAGTTAAGATGAATTTTGTATAATACTTCTTAAATTGACAAATAACTTTCTTTCCCTCTCTTCAGATATTAAGGAACTAGATGACTTGATTGCTAAAAAATACATGAATATGAAGTCGTTTAACAATGGACTATGTAAGTAAAAGTCACAAAACATTGTATGTTTTTAGCAGTGGAATCCAGGACGCGCGTTTCTTCCTATTTGGGATTTGTCAGTTAGATGTACCTGCATCCCAGTGTTGATGTTCACTCACATCAATAGGAGGAGTCAAGTAAACAATACCAAGTGAATTTAAACTTCACCGCATTGCAAAAGCATATGACTATCAGGACTCAGTAGCTAAGTGCATAACGTGATAAGGTTTGAAGCGGTCGGTACTGATTTCGAGCTCCAGAGTGAACATCAACTCTGAGATGCAGGTATATCCAGCTGACGAGTCCTGAATAGGACGAAACGCGCGTCCTGGATTTCTGTGCTAGCCACTATCCATATTTGCATATAATGCTTGTGACTTAAGGCTATATCAAGGCAATACGCGTAGTATGCACATATGCCAACATGAGACTGATCAATTTCAGTCCTAAATATCAATGGGAAGAATTAAACAAACAATATCAAGTGAATTTATTGTATGTTCTTTACTAAAAATGTAACTGTTGAGATCACAAAGTGAAATATTCTGAATTCTTGTAATCATATACACACAAATAGTTCGTTCATTACCATATGAATCATGTAGTAGTAAAACGATGAATTGTGAGAACTTGGAAAAAAATTAAAAAGGCGTTAATATGGCTTATTAAATTTGTGTAGACAGTTAACTACTTGGAGTTAACATCACTTCCAATAAAATGATAAATATTTTTTATTGAAATCATGAACCAATTGATGTTAGACTATCATCAAAAACCTGGAAGCACTGGACGACTGTTTCGTCCTATTGTGAGACTCCTCCTCAGCAGTGGTCTAACATCAACCAGTTCATGATTTCAATCAAAAACATAATAATCTTCACAACCCTATAGTGAAAATGATAGATTAATAATAAATATTTATTTTATTGTACAAAATATTCACTTGAGTTTTCTCTGATATTTCAGTTATGTACGAATTCGCTGCGAGAAATGTTGATGAATTAATATCTCTAGCAAAGAAAATTGGTGGTAATGCAAATGAGATTTTCACTCTACGTTATCTTAATAATCAATTATTTTGTGCTATTTTATGTTCATCTCTATGTCAAGTATTGTATTATGATATTATTCGAGATTGACTTATTCTATTTAGACTTGTCTTGAGAATACGACGAATACAACATATTTAATAGTTATTAAAACAATTGATTATGTCAGATTCAATAAAGTTACTGTTAGATTAATACTTGTAGTCAATGAATATGTTTTAAGTTGGCTGACAGATAAGATGAAAGACAACAAATCTTTCAGTTGTTATAAACTCTATAATGACTGATAGATTAACTATGTATTCAATGATATGTGATACTCAATATCCATTGACCGGATACCATCAGCAACAACCTCTCTGTGAGAGAGAACAAACCAGCTTCCAGCTGAAGAGGAAATTAGGAAAAGACAATGGAAATAGATAGGATATAGATGACTGAAATCACCGAACTGCATCACGAAACAAGTGTTGACTTGAAATGCTGAAGGGAAGTGGAAAAGTGGAAGGTCAAAGAACACATTACGTCGAGATATAGAAGCAGATATGAAAAGAATGAATAACAACCGGAAAGAACTGGAAAGGATTGCTGATGACAGGGTTGGATGACGAGTGCTAATGAGCGGCCTATGCTCCTTTACGAGGAGTAACAGGTGTAAGTAAGTAAGTAAGTCAGTGATATGTCTTCTGATTGAACGCTACTTGTTAGATATGATCATTACTGATTATTATATCGGAATCGCTTATCACTTATACTCAAAAAATAAGGAATTACTGCAATTCCAACGATGAAGATTTCTTAACACTAGATAAAATCACATATATGTAAAGTAATTAGATTTATAAGAAAATCTATGCTACATATCATACTGAGCATAGTCCATGTTCATTAAATACAAGAATAACGTATGTTATACTGAATAGAATATCATGCTGAAAAAAACAGAAACAAACACTAGATGATTATTGTATTAAGTAAAAGAATATCATATTTGGTATAAGTTAGACATTGGCCGACAGGCTCAGTGGTTTAGTTGGTTAAGCACCTGGTGCGAGACCGTTAGGTCCTGGGTTCGAATCTCGCGGAGGGCGGGATCGTGAATGGGCACTGTTGAAGAGTCCCATACTGGAACGAAACAGCCGTCCAGTGCTTCCAAGTTTACCATGGTGGTCTAGCTTCAATTGACTCATGATTTCAACCAGTGAAATTTCATGTTTACCTTTACATATTGTTATATTAATCAATCTATTAAATGTGTAGAATAATTGGAAATTTCTTTATTTTCAATTTCAGCTATACTACAATTTTAAACAAAATCATGTTTGATAGTGTTCATTACTTTGTAATAATCATATTAGTCTAGAAATGTATTTTTTTTAGATTATTACATTATTGTATTGACATTTAATTGGTTACTTTATGAATAAAGTTTAAATTTAAAGAAAAAAAGTAGATTAGTCTGATAAATCTTGTTTTATTCTGTTAAAAGTATTTTGGAAATAGTCATCATAGGTGTCTTCAAAGGATTGCTCGTATATCTCGGGATCACCAAGTAAGTAATGCAGATGTTATTAAACAGGTACTAGGTAAGGTTAGCAAATCAGTTGATGAAGTAGTGAAACTTCACCAGTTTAGATGGCTGTGACATGTGTTACGTATGCCCAACCACTGACTGCCCCGACGTGCGATGTTTTATGGTGTACGAGTAGGTTAGAAGAAAGCCAGGGGTAGCCAGGTCAAAACATGGCACAAATCCATGAAGTCATTGACAAGTGAAATGTGCCATGTTAGTAAGTGTAGACTACCTGGTTGCGATCCGCAAGACGAAGTCAACCGGTGGTTAGAGACCTTGAATGATATGACTCAAAATCGTTTGCAATGGCGCAGTTGCATCCACTCTTCGTGTTCTCTCAAATTATAATCTTCTGAATTCTTCGTATCCTTTTTTTTCTCTTTCTGAATTTATTTCACTGGACAACACTTTTTGAATAACATTTTTAAACCCTAATCTTTCCGATTACTGCCTGAACTTTTACTACCTCTACCACTACGGGATTTGAATCGACAATTGTATCCATGTGCTAATATGGTATGACAACTCGAACTGATGTACGTACGTACGAAGTTCTGCGTTGTTGCTGATTGACTAAATAAACGTGGACGAAGCTGTTTCATACCAAGCTGCCAAGCCATATTAGCATGATAATTTGAAATGACGATAAGAAATATAGAATCCTTAGGTGTTTTAATAAGTCTCTGTGAACACAGGATCTAGAGAATGATAAAATGTGAAAGTATCTTTCAATTGTGATCGATTCTAAACCATGTCATTCAACATCTCCATAGTTGACGACCATAGTCCAGACGATCTTAATCGTTATCAGTTTCCTTACAGACTACTTCTACATCGGTCAGTATCATGCATCTAACTTCACGGTGGTTTGACTAGTGTGATACCAGTCCGAAACACTTTATTTGTGAGGATCCAGTCTCATAAACCAAATTACGGAGTTTCTGAAAAGGCTTTTAAATAAACTCAATATTGTTCACTTAGTGATTCCACAATGAGTTGCCTAAACAAGGCTTATATCGTAACTCTACGTGATCAAGAGACCCTGTATTATGTCACCATTCACACTCAACATATATGTGTGATCTGCATATATTAAGTCGAGAAACGAATCTATAATTAAGAGATCAGTCATTGCAAAGATGAACAGAGTATGACTTGTAAGAGGACGATCATAGTAAAAGCAAATCAAAAGTCTGATTGTAAGGAACTGATAAACAGTATATATGAACCCAGAAACTAAGGGTTCATAGCTTGAAGTAGAACACACGGAATCAGAAACAACTAAATCAATTGACATTATAATGAAACGCGATGTTTGAATAAGGTTTAGAGTAGTTAACAAATATTTACTGAAATCTTGAGGAGAAATACTATCGGAATCGTTGACATACAACTGATGAACATAAAAAATGCCTTCTTTTAAATATCATATACTTACGTTATGCAAACAGTAATGTTAAACTGGAACAACATTATGTTCTCCATACATTTAGTCTCATGTTAATTAACATTTAATGAGCCACAATCACTTATTCCTGAATATTTATTATTTTACCCTAAACTTTTTAAAAAATATGTCAGAAACTTCAACTGCCGGTATGACAGTCCCAGTGAAACAACAAAACATGTCTGTTAAAAATGGTTCCTTTCTTGTTGCTGATGTTTATCATTTAAGTCTCCCAGCATAATCGAGTATGGCTTTCAACTTGAAGTTTACCCTATACTAGAAGTAGCCACTTTCGGCTGTAGATTACATCATATTTCAAACACTTCGCCATGATATACTCTAAGTGATCGAATTCGTATAGATATTCTTCACTGTTAACTAGGGAGTGTTCGTTTGTTCTCACTGGATACTTATTTTATTGATAACTAATTTAATTGTAATACCGATACGGACAATCAGTGATATAGTCTTAAGCAACTTGAAACCAACACGCAACTTCCAATCATTGTATTTAAACCGAAGTATCATCGACTGTTGAATGATAAAATTTCACGTTTTTAGATTGTTACTACATTGAAAATCGTCTATCGGATCCTGAAGAGTTAATGACATGTCTGATTTCATGTGCCAAAAACTAGAGTAGAAATTCAGCTGATTGTTGCACATCACAAGTAAGATTAGGGTATTTGACTTTTAATTATCTCAACAAACTCAGTTTTAAGCGTCCAAGTGTGTGATCAAATGTGTCAGTAGGGGTATCATTAATGAGTCGTCAAACAATGAAGGACAGCTGTAACCAAGTATTAAAACCAACGACCACTTGACAGACATTTTTCAAAGAAAGCAAACAGCTACAACGAAAATTACATTTCTGAAGATCAACATCAAGAATTCGACAGCACAATTCATACTCACTAAACTTCAGCTCTTTTAAAGGAACATGAGATCTCAAACAACTGTTATTACAGTCAAATCTATATTTCAATAGCTTTGTGGAGGTGCCACAAACAATGTTGGATAGAACTTGAAAATAACAACTGAGAAGTAATACTTATCGCTTGAAGTATTTTAATTGACGAGTCTAAAATTTAAGAATTTATCATAGGCACATATACTCAGACATTTCACCCAATCAACTGAAAGTACTTTAATTTCAGAAATGACTTAAGTTCTTCAGAAAATTGTATTACACATTTACGCGTCCATCATGGATTCAATATAAAAGCTTGTGTACAGATATCATCACAACAGATCATGAAATATATTGTTGCATGTGTTAATGGTAAATTTCAGTTAATTTCCCTAGTAGATTATGCTTAGTCGCACCTTATAAGTAACAATCAGTAACTTGAAGCTCTCATCATTTGAACAACAGTATAGCATACTTAGTGTTCATGAACCCTGGTTAGGAGTTCAATAATAAAATTTGTGGACTATTATACATGTGATCACAGCTTCAGCTTAAATGAGATTGAATGACAGCTATCGTTGTTTACTTTCAGTAAAGAAAAATATCTCATAAAAAGGAACTTTCTTGCATTATCAGTTTTGACTGATGTAGATATTTCATTGACTGTTTTATAAAATTTCAAAATTATGTACAACCTTGAGTAACGTACACGTCTATAGAAACATCATAGTTCCAGCACTTCAGATATTAATGAAGGAGTTCGTCATAACATTTTTTGTCAATAATTCTTGTCTAGTTGGAATATAACAAGACAATTTCAGAAAAATCAATCAAATGATTAAAATCGTCTATTTTCCGAAATACTATGCCATTTTTATCTATGAATCTTTGTTGATGCTGACATGATATATCCTGATGAAGTAAAATTTCAACAACAAAAAAAATGCATCAAAATTTGACGTAGTGGTAGATATGGTTAGGCATTTCTACTGAAATGTGGCACATTGTCTATATACAAAGATGAAGTCTTAATTGAGAATCACTATACTCAATATTCTCAATTAAACTCTGAACTCGGCAGCCTGCTTGAACATCTGGGTTACCTGTTCCTGTCAACAGGAAACCCTGGACCCGGGTCTCGTGCTACTTGGCACTCGTCAGCAAGTTGTGACTGTAATCTTGAGGGAACTGGTGCTCCCTGGCGGATTCGGTCCCGTATCACCCAGCTTCACAGTCAGAGACGTTACCACTGAGCTATCCAAGCCGCGACTGACCTCCTGTGGGACTAAGGTGTAATCGCAATTAATTGATCACTGGGTGGTGATCAATGTCAATGTCAATGACTAGACAAGCATGACATCGATAACCACCCAGTGATCAATCAATTGTGACATCATTATGTTTGTCAATCGCATAACCTATTCAGGTACGTTTCTGAAAACTGTACAACCTTTCGTTGTACAAAATACAAAACATCCAATCAAACATATCGTAGTTGCTGGTAATATGCAGCGAAAAGAATGTATGTTATTTAGATGTCTATTCAGTGGACTGCTAACTTCTAACTGGTGATCATTCGATATTTATCGTCGGGATCGATCAAGAAATGAAAAAAGGAAACTTGTTGAAATACTTTGTGCTGAGAATTTGTGGCATTTGAATGAACTAATGATAGTTCATTGAGGAGTTGCGATGCAGTTCACGAAAATGGGCACAAGACTGATCAATGTTTGTCCTGTGGCAGGTTCTACTCTTTTAATCCATGTAAATTTCGTAATTCTAAGTGCTTTAAATGTGGTGATATTGGACATATTCAGTCAGTTTGTAATACTACTGTTCATTTTGCTGCAACGAATATTAAGTCTTGTAATTCTGATTCTATTAAGTCCAGTGTTCCTATTGATTATTTATCCTTATCAACGATTTCAAAAGACAGTGTAGAGTCATATAGCAGTTCAGAGTTAAATGAAACTCAGAATTCTTGCGAGACAACAGTTTCTAATCAATCGACTTATCAGATTTCTCATGTCCTAATGACTCACTTATTTCTGACGAAATTCCATACAAATCTGAGGAAAATATGTCGAATGAACCTAGTCAGGATCGAAAACCTCATGTAGTTTTGATAGATGCTGATTTTTCTAATGATCTGTTACTCTGCAATGACATTCTTTATAAATTTGAGCAAACTATTTCAGAAGAGTCAAATCTTGATGTCCCATCAAATATTATTTGTCCTCATAATGCATTTGTTTCTTGTGGGAAACTTGTTCAGTGCGAAGCACAAGTACTAAATGACCTCGATTTTGATTACAATTCAGATGATTTCGTATCAGCTGCTGTTTATCCTCATCAAAAACACTCCTAATGTTTACTCTAA